TCTGGCTCCAGATGCTAAAGATAGGAGTAGGAATGATTGAAAAGTAGTACTAATTTTTTTTATATATATATATATATATATAACAATACTTTCCCTTTAGATGATATGTAGTATCTTGTGTGGTTAATTTGAGGTATTCCCACTGCCAATTATTGTTTCCACTTCAAGTTGGTCTCAAATAGAGCAGTCTAAATCCATCCATCAATTTGATATGAAAGCCTTCATTTGAGATGGATGGGTAACAGTTGGTGCACTTTTGCTAGCATTCAAAGGGGTAATCTTTGATTCAAGTCTGGAAATTAATAAGATTTTGTCCTATGCCTTGAAAATTCCACCATCGGCCAATGACAAAGCCTATGACAGCAGTGTTTCATAACAATGATTTAGAGTTTGAACTTTACAATATCATTATTCAGTCTTTGGAACAATTGCAATGATGGCTCATCTTCAGTTTATGGCGTGCTTTTTCTCTGTTATTTATGAAAAAACAGCATATTCCCAGAAATGGAATGGCTTTATTTGATTTGAAACAACCCATCATCTTCTCCTTGCAATCAAGTCATAAAAGAGAAATCTCCAGTAATGCCAACATGTTGAACCTGTCAAGTTTCAAGCATTCCCACCAAGAGATTTAATTAAACTCAAGTTATGATGAATTAGAACCGTCCGATGATCTCTCATTTTGGTATAGGATAACCTTCAACTTGTATGCAATTTTTCCCTGTTCAAATATGATAGTTCTTGGATTTCTTAAGCATGAATTTTCAAAGGATAATTATGTAGTTTTGAGGTTGAGCTGGTTCTGTCCTGTAAACCTATCTGTGAAAAATAACAATCAATAATGCATAGGCTTGTTGCTTCAAAATTGGGTTTCACGAACAAGTATCATAATCAAGATCAACCTGCAGATTTCAGAAATTAAAACTAGTAGCAGTTTTATTGGCCTTGGAATTACAAGCAAGATTTTCGTTCACTAAGCTGAAGTGGTCGTAAGATTTGTTACGCATTTCTTGCGGATGAATATATTAACCGTCAAGTCAACATCTATAGATCATCGTTATGTTAGTAATTATCTTAATTAATCCAATATTTGATTAATATAAACAAATTAACTGTTTATATCAGTGCAAGATAAAATCCGATCATAAATATCTTATTCGGACCCTTCACTCTCATTTTATTTGCTTTCATTCATTATATTTTGTTAACTTAAACATTGGAATGCGTCTTGGAATCCTAACTCCGGAGCTTGCCTGACCATTCTTTTTATTACACATCACTCTAGCTTTTTTCAAGTCAACCATCCAATCAACTTTCCAAAAGCATCTAATCATTAAACCCGGAAATACCATCGACAAGATTGATATTGTAAGTGGTTTAAGTAGCAGTTATATTGTATCTTCTCATGTCTCTAGCAGCCCTTCATCATGAAAATTAAACCCATATTCTCCCAGGCAATTTGTTGTTAATTCCAAATATTGGAGAACCGAGATATATTTTTATAATGATGGAATTTGTCATCAACAAAATATATTTTCTTGCTTCTTAAAGACATTGAAAGCAGCGAAAATGCAGAACTATATTCTTTTCCACTTAGGTGCATAGAATTCGACTAGCCAGCTATGTTTTTTTTTTTTTTTTCCTCTTGGGTATGGCGTAATATAATGTTACCAAACCCGAGAAAATCTTCAGGGTAAGACAAAATTTGGTGGTAAATGACGAAAATTTCCACTCAATTATGTGAATCATCTTCCTCTCTGCTTTGCAAGAGAATATCCAACGACAGTGGACAGCGACGTAAAATGAATGGGGTTAGATTTTAGAATACGAATTCCCTTGTGAAGTAACATGCCTGAATTATGGACGGCAACGGAATTAGTCGAGAAGAATTTTTGTTCGTCTTAAATTTGATTTAATTTTATAAATTTAATATTTAAATTTAATTTAATATTAAAATATTATTTTTATATTAAAATTTGATTTGATTTATATATATTTAAATTTATAATCAACTCAAATGAAATTAATAAAATATTAATATTTTAATATAAAATATTATTTTTAAATATAAATATAAAATTAAATAAATAATTTAGGTTGGACAAATTTACATAAAATCTAATCTTGATTTTTTTTTAAATATTCTATTTAAATTTTGATTTAAAAAAAATCTATCTCATAAAATTGAGTTGAGTTAAAATTTACTAGGTACGGACTATATTATTAACGTTAATCCATATAGTCAATTGCTTAGAATTCATAAATGATAATAGAAAAAAAATGTGCTTTTACAAGTTTAAACCCTGATTTTGAAGCTTACATTAAAAAAAAAAAAAGAGTTCAGTGATTCTCAATTAATCTGTCTTTGAATGGTGGTTTTGATTATAATTGAGTTAGATATCCTACAGATCTGCCTAACAAACTTAATTTAGGGAACCGAAGTTAACATAATTGCCTTAAGCAGAAAGGCCTCTTTAAACTATTCTGCTGAATACCTTTTTTTATATCACTGATATAAAATGTAAAATGGCAATCAATAGAATATACTATATACTTCCCAAACCATTGAGTGATTATTTAGTTTTACTTGGGTTTTTTTTTTTTTTTATTTATCGTTCATTTTGTTAATAAAATATTAAAATTTAATTATTGATAATCTCAAATATTTTAAAAAAATTATTAACTTTACAGCAAACCGTGGATTAAAAGTGGGTGTGATTTATTATAGGATCTGAGTTTTCTGCAAATGATTAAGAATTCAATTTCCAAACTACAAGGTAGATAATTGTCAATTTGTCATGATTACTGTAACTCATCCCCACAGGTTTTTTTACTGAATAAACCGGTTTTTACCGTAATTATTTACTAATTTACTATACGCATGACCCCCAATACATACATAAGTAATGATGGTAGGGAATTGGGAACCAAGGCTCAGTTATCTCTGTTTCCTTTAATAATTTTCAAATTTAAAGTTAGATATATTATATATGTTCTAATAATTTAAAATTAACATAATATATAACATATGCTCAAAGCATAGAAATCTTAGTATCATTGCCTCACGTGCTGATCAGCAGCTATGATTGATGGGGACGACTTAATTTGTTGAACTAAGCAAAACATTAAGACACCATTATCTCCTCGTACGAGTAATAAATTCAAAACTAATTAGTGTTAACTTAAAAAAAAAAATTAGTGTTCAAGAGTGCACAATTAACATTAAACCTTTTTCAAGAAAAAAAAAGGGCATATGAAAATAAAGATGGAAAATTAACATTTTAATATGATTGATTTAAATTATCATTTTAAAAAGTGATATTTAATTTATAATTCTTTTTTTTTAATCATTAAGGTGCAAGTTTAATAGTTGGCTCTATTTCTCAAGGATTACAAACGTATTCAAATCCATCGAATTTCAATTCGATCTTATAGAATTAATTTTTTTTAAAATTAAGTTTTGGATTGGATCGATTTTTTTTATTTTAAAGTTTGAATTGAATTTTAAGTAAATTGGCCTAGTAATATATATTAAAATATTTTTATTATTTATTTAATTTTATATTTATATATTATATTAATACAATTATTATATAATACTTTAATTTAAAATATTAATTTAATAAAAATACTACATTTATGTATAATTAAAATATAATTTATATTAAAAATAATATTTTATAAATATTATTTTAAATTTAAATTGTTAAATTAATTTTGAATCAAATTAGGTCAATCATAAATTTATACAAATACGAATTAAGTCAAATCAAATATAAAAATAATATTTTAATATTAAATAAGATCAAATCAAAATTAGATATTTATTTTATAAAATTGGATCGAAATCTGGGTTGGAAGTTGGAATCCCACCTCTCCCACTTTTAACCTTCTGAGATGGAAATATTTAGTTGAATGCTTTAATGTGTTTAGCTAGCTAGTGCGTTTTACTGGCGTTTGTCCTATATGCCGGCATTGTTAGCTTTGGTATGCGCATATATGCCGTAGATGAAGACACGTACATCAGGCCAGGCTCTGCCAAAGCATATGCATCCACTAAGATATTCGATTCCTGAATCATCATCTGCTAAAACCACTACTGTCATCTCTTAATATTACTCATCTGTTCAATTTTCCATCTAAACCATAACATTTTTCGAGGATTAGCTGATTAGACTGACTCACATCTTTTTCTACTCTTTCTTCTACCATTTTACCATGCTTTAATTTATATATATAAAGATCAAGTTCGAGTTATCTTGGAGACATGAGAACCCTGGTCAGTAGACTAAAAATTTGACAAAAATTTCGTGTATCTCTGGAAGCTAAACAGGAAAAATCTGGATTTGAATTTGGTTTTTGGAATTGAGCACCACCGTCTTGATTCTGAAATATTCTTAAATTTTACAAAAATTTCATAATATTCTGCCAAGCTAAAAGTAGGACCAGGGGGGCATCCTTGCCTGCAGTAAGCAAAGATGTTCTGAAGACAAGAGAGCACAGCATAAAATAGCATAATGAGGGAAACAGAAATTTTGGTGACAAAAAAAAAGGATCATGTGCTTATAAGAGCAATATTTCCCTGTCAGGATAAAGAAGAATCTCGGCCAATTACCACAATTATTTATGTTTCTCACTTTTTTGTGTGTACTTTGATATTCCGGCATGACAGAGAGGCCACGTAAGTTAATGATGATGATTTTCACTGTCGTTTTTATCTCTAATTTGACTAACTTTTTGTCCTCAAACAGCTTATTCCATGTTCTCATCATACCTCAAATCCATTTTTCTACTAAATTTTAAGACATCACATGCAAAAGCAAATTCATTTCCCAGTTTTTGTTTATTTGTTACTCAGTGGCATAATATTGTATAAAGTAGGGTCTTTAGTTTGATTGGAGAATAACAGCCATTGGATATGTGGATATAGCATGAACAGTACTAATCTTGTGAATGAACATAAACATGCTAGATTCTCTTTCATTCTCGAATCAGCCAATACCTTTGGAAAACTTTCAGACTCCAAATCCTTGCTCTCATTTATAAATGGTTAGTTGGGGTTCATATTCTTTCCAAGGAAAGGTAGCTAGAAAAGCTACATATATAGAGCTGATACAATATACCAGCTTCTGAACCATAAATAATAAAATAACTACCCCTCTCTTTCTCTTTCTCTAATAATTTGTGGTGTTTTGCCCAAAGAATTCAGATTTGCTTGCAAACATTGGAAGAAAGGGAAAGAAGATGTCAATGGCTCCTATAGGCAATAAATGCACCAGGAAAGAAGTCAATAGAGGAGCATGGACAGTTGAAGAAGACCAAAAGCTTGCTCAAGTCATTGAAATTCATGGTCCAAGAAGGTGGAAATCAGTGGCAGCAAAAGCAGGTTCATTGAGAATGATTTGTTGAGCTCATTCTTAGAGCCACATATCAGACAATCTTTTTAACTTAAAAAATGATTTCCATTTGGTTTCAGGACTGAACAGATGTGGAAAGAGTTGCAGACTGAGATGGATGAATTATCTTAGGCCCAATATAAAGAGAGGCAACATATCAGACCAAGAAGAAGACTTGATACTAAGGCTGCATAAACTGCTTGGAAACAGGTAACTTATACATATCTGGTTACTTTTTCCTCTCCCTATAACAATAGTACATTTTGACTTGTGGAATTAATTGATCAACGACTGAATCACATTAGTTATCAATTAGGTGGTCTTTGATTGCTGGAAGACTACCAGGTCGAACTGATAATGAAATCAAGAACTATTGGAATTCCCGTTTGAGCAAGAAAATAAAGCAGAATGAGAAGCAAAACAGAGGTTCAAGAATGCAAGAATCAGTGATTAAGAATTCTAAGGTAAGCGAGGTGGACTTGGTAGCGAAGGAAAGTGAAGAAGGCACGTCCAAGAGAGATGATGACCCCACATCCTGCTTCATTGGTGATACCTTCTTCGATTTTTATAGCAAGGAGCCTTTTAGTTTGGAGTGGATGAGTCAATTTCTTGAAATGGATGAGAGCTGGTGTAGCTTTCCATGACATTGATGCCTTGTCTTTTTACATCAAGTTGTTGTAGTTATGCACATTTGTTCTTCAGCTGCTATGGCCAAAGAGTCTTTGGTAATCCAAGGAAAATCCTCCAGTTTCAGTTCTCTGTCCTAATGGTGACTAAGGTTTTTCCTTGGATTAACAATTGGAATATCATCTTTCCTTTTTTTTTTCCCCATCCAAGTATAATTCGGATTGTTCTATTTCAAAGGGTAGGCTTGGCTACTCCCAACAAGAAATCTGCAATTGTCTTGTTCATCTCCAATTTCGACCTTGGAACTGTCCAGAAGTGAAAGTCTGCCATTAAAAAACGATGAAAAGATCAAACGCTGATCATTAAAGTTGGAAAAGTGAAGTTGTGTTTTATTATTTCAGACATAAACTAAAGAGAAAAGCAACAAGACTTGGTAGGGGCTCACACTAAAATGAGTTTAATGCTTAAACGACATCATTATACTTGCAACTCTTTTGATATCTTTTTCCTTCTGCCTTTGGCACTAGTGTGTATCTACATGCTCTCAAGGTATAACAATGGCGCCACAACTCCATGGCGATTCATTAAGATCCAAAATAAACCAAAAAACATACCACAACGTAGATTTGTCTATATATATAGTTCTTTCTGTCATGTATGATGAAATTAGATTAGTTTGATTTCATTGTTTACTTAAAATGCAGATTGACACTGAAAAATGTTTGGCGGAAAAGGAGAGTAATTGGAAACCATTAACTTCTCAAGATGAAAAGCTGGTTTTATCAGCCTTCCGCAGATGGCCCATTTCTCTCCTTCCAAGGTTGAGACTCGCAGCTGTAGAAGATTCGCCAGAGGGTTTTCCACTGGTGGCTTTACAAAATGACCTTTCTTAATTATCCCTTAACATCATTTTCATCTGCTCTGGGTCTGCCCCTATTAGCCAATTGGTCTTGTTTTCATCCAACTCAGACACATTTTTCCTGTTTCAAGTCCAGACACAGAGAAGCTTGGATAAAAATAATTACTTCACATAAACAAATGTCACTTTCATTTAATTATGACAGAAAACAAATAAAATGTCCTATGGTTATAGGGTAAGAAAAAATGACAATAATATCAACACTGCCAATTCTTGAGTCTCAAATCCAAATTTCAAGTGGGAAACATTTTATTCTTGAGTCTCAAATGTTAGTCCATGAACAGAACCTGAAGTGCTTTTGTGGATCAAGGCAGACCAAGGGGGAGTTTTGTCCCCTTCTGTGTTACATTGCATTCCAAAAGCGAATTATGTTGAGAAAGAATTGGAAAAACAGAAGAGGAAAAGTAAGCACCACTGCACTGCCTAATGCCTTGCACCCCAACTGCATGGCCCTCCCTACAATCATCAGTCCCCCTCAAACTTTTAAGACTTTTTAAAGTTACTCATTCTGGAAAATATATAGTACTTTGAGAAAATAAAAGTTATCTAAAACAAAACAAAGTTACTGTGGTGAATTTGGGTCGATTAGGATTATCACCTTTTAACCTTTGTTATAGACTTTGGGCCATTTGGGCTCTAATGAGTTTAAGTGAACGTTTGCTTAAATCTCTGGTTTAATACTATTTGAATTTGCAAACACAGCAGAAATTTGAAGAAACATGTTGAATTCTATGATAGCATACAAGCTGGTTTACTAACATCTACCATTAAAATCTAACATAAAAAAACCTTGATCTTGTCTCCTTTAAATTTACCTTAAAATCTACCGTTAGCCCTTCTCCTCCAACATAGAAGTAAGACAAGAAAAACATTTAATCTAACAAAATCAATCATATTTAGTAAATAGCAATAGTTCCCATATCCCATCGACATGGGAAATTGAAGATGCTCTCATGGTTCCATTACAATCTATGGCAGGGATTGATTAAGAATATATGCATTTGATTAATTTCCCTTTAGAAGAAAAACTATATTTGCATGTACATATATCAACTTGATCACCATTATAGGACCAAATTTTGTGGGATAGTTGTGGAGGGCAGAAAAAAGAAAACACATTTTGAACAGACCTGAATCCCTGATACACGCACAAAAAGCATCACTTTTACAGTTATAATATAATGAAATTGCAAACAATGTGATTATGATTATTTGATTTGTATATATATATAACGGATGGAGTTGCCACCAATCTTTTTTAGTTAGGTGTGATTGATCACCTAAAGAATTTATCATCTTAAGAAACTCCTAAGCTTGACTAAGGATTCTTAAAAGAATAGGTTCGAGTTTACTAATCAAAACAGGATTCGGGAGTTTGATTACGTGTGCAGAATGTTATAGCACCCCCATATACCTATCCGAAAGATGGTATCATTTTATTTTAAATTTATCATAGGATCTCGATTCTAATGATTTTAAGTTTTTTTATGTTGAAATATTGAAAATAATTTATAAGATTCTTCCTTCAATTTGGTAGAATTCTTAAAAATATTTCTTCACATCAAGAGTATTTAAGGATCACATTTATTTTTTTAAGAGGCTCCATCGTCAGAAAAAAAGTTTAATTATTTTTTTGATTTTTTGGTTGAAAATATATTTAATTATTCCACAATTTGGGCTAAATTAAAAATATTTTTTTAATTTCTAAATTTTTCACCATTTGGGTCTATTTAAAAATTCTCTATTTTTTTGTTGGATTTCTAAATTTTTCACAATTTGGGCTTATTTCTAAATTTTTCACCATTTTGGTCAATTTAAAAATATTTTCTCTTCATTTATTTTTTATCTTTGGAAGAAAAATAATATGACAATTATTTTTTATTGAAATTTTATTTAAATTCATCCACCATTTAGGACAAATTTAAAGAAATTTCTCACGTAGAGATTTCTTAAGAATTTATCATTTGAAATTTTTAAGAATCTCATCATTGGATAATTATAAAATATTTTCAACCAAATTTGAAAAAGAATACAATTACTTTTATTGAAATTTCATATAAATTATTTTACCATTTGGGACAAATTTAGAGAAAATTTCTCATATAGAGATTTTATTAGAAATTTACCATTTGAAATTTCTAAGAATCTCATCATTGGGTAATTTGTATTTAATTTCAAAATTTTTATCAAAATTTTTTATTTTTATTTTTATTCTTGTTTTGAAAATAAATATTAATTATTATTATTAAAACTCTATCTAAATTATTCCCTCATTTGGGATAAATTTAGATAAAATTTCTCACATAAAAATTTTATAGAAATTTATCATTTGAAATTTTTATAAATTTTTGGATAATTAATATTTATTCCCAAAATTTATTTTATTTTTTACTTTTTTTATTTTTATTTTTTCCTAAAATTTAATCATGCAAAAATACTTTAAATAAATAAAGTGAAAAAAAAACCCAAAACAGGAGGCTGCTCAGCTTGGCTCAACTGTAAGAAAAAAAGCTAGAACGGCTCGAAAAGCAGCTCGGCTTGACTCGGTTTGAGACAAAGATTGAAAAAAATCACCAAAATCTAGGAATTTTCTAGATTTTTCCAAAAAAAATTCTCTTCTTTTTTTTTTAAACCCCAAAAAATCTATGAAAATTTTTTTTGACTGTTTTCTCTTATTTCTACCTCTCTTTCTAACTTTTTGTGTGTGTTTGTGTGATCTGTGTAAACATATATTTATAAGGTTTTGAATATGAGAACTCCAATCTAGAAAGGAATCCAAATTTCCTTTGAATTTTAACCTTAAACCCAATTTCAACTTTACAAACTAATTTCAACAATTTCACACAAACTCAACTACCTTTTTCTTCATTTTTTTTGTTTTTTTTATTAGCAAAAATCAAAAGTAGACCTCTGGATAGATTGGAGTGTCTACATATATAAGTGTGAACTCCAAAATTATTAATAGTAATCTACTAATATACCCCATAAAATTTTAAATTAATGCATTTATCCTTAAATATATAATTTTTATTAATTTATTTAAGTTTAATTTAAATCAATTAAAAATAAAAATAGAATTTATGAGAAATAAAAGTACTTTAAATTTAAACTTTAAAATTTAAAAAATTTAAAAGTAATTGACTAAAATACTTTTAGTAAATATTTTTATAAAATTTAATTTAAATAATTTTTTTATTATTAGACTTTTTTTAATAATTAAAATAAAAAATTGCTAAAATTGATTGACTAATCCCTTAATAAAATTTTTATTCCAAAAATATTAAAATTGTTTGATTAAAGATCTTTAATGATTTTGTTATAAAATTTAATTTAAATGATTTTATTTTTATTATTAAACTCTTTTGTCTATAAGTAAAATGATTTTTCATATCAAATAAAAATACAAATAAAACGATATAAAAGCTTAATGTGTTTAAGAATAAAATAATTATATAAAATTTGTTTCTTTAATTGTTGCAAATATAATTGTATAAGTAATTTATGTTGATAAATAAATTTATTCAAAATAATCATAATTAAGTCATTTAAGCATATCTTTTAATTTTTTTCTTTCAATTTTTTGTTTTAATATATTAACTATATATGTATGATAATGATTTTACTATCTATATACTTTATGAGTTGATAATTTAATTATTGATAATATAATTAAATCTTTTTAGTCCATTGAAATAATTTTTAATATATCATTCTTACACTTTAATATGACGTTTATAATTAATTTCCCTTTTATATTTTTTTCCTTTAGAATTTAATAATTATTCTTCTTATAAACAAAAATTAATATCAAATCAAATACAAATCAATTGCACATCTTCACCAACAAGTAGCATTATGTGATTCGTTGAACATTTTAATTATACTTTCTACCAAAAGAATTAGATAATTTAGGAGATGGTAAAGCTACCACCAACTCAAGATTGGTCATATCAAATTCTCATAGGAATTGTTCACTTTGATTGAAATAATAATTGATTTAATTTTCTCTCAACTTTGATCTTAATATGTTTAAATATATGATTAATTTATATCTTAAGATTATTTAATCTTTTTCAATTATATTAAATTGTTTTTTTTTTCTTTGTCATCTATGTGGTTGAACAACTTAACATGAATTATTTTAAGTAAAAAATTATCAAATGAAGTAAAATTAATTATTTTTGGTAAATTCTTATAAGGTTTGACAAAATTAATTGGAACTATCTTTTTAATGTGTTTATGCCAAAGTTACATTCATTTATAAAAATTTATGTTGTTAATGCTGAAAATAAAATCATTATATATTGTATAAGTATTACATAACAAGTTTGTTAGTTTTAGAATTGAAATTTTCTTAATAAAACATGTCAAGTACAAGGTTAAGATTTTATTTTATTTTATTTTAT